GAAGAACCTAGGGGTAAGACGGGAATAAAGACACAGACCTACTGGAGAACGGACTTGAGGATACGGGGAGCGGGAAGGGTGAGCTGTGACAGGGCGAGAGAGAGGCATGGACATATATACACTAACAAATGTAAGGTAGATAGCTAGTGGGAAGCAGCCGCATGGCACAGGGATTATCGGCTCGGTGCTTTGTGACCGCCTGGAGGAGTGGGATAGGGAGGGTGAGAGGGAGGGAGACGCAAGAGGGAAGAGATATGGGAACATATGTATATGTATAACTGATTCACTTTGTTATAAAGCAGAAACTAACACACCATTGTAAAGCAATTATACCCCAGTAAAGATGTTAAAAAAAACCCCACAAAAATAAATACACAGACACACACACACAAAGAAAGAACCAGTACAACTCAGATGAGCCAACAATAAGACATTTGCACGGAAAATTAATGTCACAATGTTGTACAAATACACAACTCCTTGAATGCCTAAAGTGAAAAAGACTGAGAATGTCAAGTGCTAGCATGGATATGGAATAATGGAACTCTCATTCATTGTTAATGGGAATGCAAGGTGGTGCAGCCACCTTGGAAAACAATTTAACACGTATTAAAAACTTAAACATATATTTAGCACATATCCCAGAAATCCCACTCCTAGATAATAAAAAAAAAAAGTAACAATTCTTAGCTTGCAGACCATTAAAAAAAAAAAAAAGGCAGATTTGGTCTGTGGGCTGTAGTCTGCAAGACCCCTAGTTTAGAAGAAACATTTTGAAGATCTCTCTGTTCTTTACTACAAAATTTATTCCTCAATTTATCTTACTATAGTGATTTAAATCAGTTTCGCATTAGTAGATGTTAATGATTATGTTAAATAACTAATATAGCTAACATTTCTTGATTTTCCTATTTCAAACATACTAAAAAATAAATAAGCATTGTTGCTAATGACTTATACGTCTTACCTGGATCACAATTTAACACGATGTTGGTGCAGGTTTATGACACTTCAATTAAGTGGAGCTGTACAATGGTTAACTGTTCCAGAAGAGCACATGGGAAGGGTCACGGAAGAGAGAAAAAATTTTGCAGCATTAGTACAGCCAGGCAGAAACTTAAATACTAAACTCTACAGACATCACTACAGAGACTTAAATGCCACCCAATCCTGATACCATAGATGCCCAGCACATCCTTGAGGGGGCAGTAGACTGTGGTTTTCGTCTAGCATTTAATTCTTCCTTAAACTGGCAGTCTAGGGTGACGAATTCCGCTGTCTCTCACCTCAGGGCCTAGGGTGAAGCTCTCCAAGTTGCTAGAGATATTTCTTCAGCCATTCCATCAGCACCACCTAATAACAGTTAACCCAGTCACAGTTATCATACGTGAGTTCATATTTATATCTAGGTTCATTAACATATTGAATTAAAATGTAAGCATGGAAGAATCATAAGTGCTATGAATAAACACCTAAAATAGAAGTCTGAGCAATGTAAAAATTGGAGCAAACTGTTAGGTCCGTCCTGACAGGAAGGACCTGAAGTCAGTTTGACTTTCCGTAGGTTCAGCTGTTTATGAGCATCTTCTGAGATGTTTCTTTCACATGAAAAACTCTGAAAAAAAATTCTGGAAAAAAAACTGGGTAAATGGGTATTGGAATAATGTGGGACTAGTAATTTTAACAGTATAATTAGAATTTTGCATTTCTGCACTTTGCTATTGAAGAACTGTGGATATGTAGCTAAAAACTGACTTTCAAACTTCCAATATATATTAGAATAAATTTAGACTTGTAATTACCATATATTTCCACACGGTGGACCTCTTGATGTTAGGTGTTTTTTAATCCATTTCAATTGTCCAAAAATTACATAATATAATTTTAAAGCCCCTTTAAAATTTTTAAAATGTACTTTTTTTACAAAGTCATACAACGTACTGTTCTCCCTGTCATACTGGCTTAAAACTTGACACTTCGAAACGCGATTCAATTTCCTGTCACGAAATTACCAGTTAAGTTTTTAAAGTCTTTTAAACTCCTTAAAAGCAATTTCTTTAATGACTTAATTTTGTTTACTTTAACAGTCATTTTATTTTGTTAAAATAAAAATAAGTTATAAAGTCAATGCACAAAAACCTCATTAATGACTACTACTAGTAGCACTCATGAAGAATTCTTATAATTCAGATACTATATCTGATGGTTATGAATAAGAAAGCAGAATTGTTTTCTCTAAGTCTTCGGGCTCCTAAGAATATAAACTTTCTCTTCAAATTTATACAGCATATTTAAATTCATATACATATGCATGTATATCACCAGTACCATGTGATTTATTAATTGCTTTTTAATTTTGTTCCTCCAACTAACTAGGATGAGAGAGATTTGAGATGCCATGTCATATACTTATTTAGTGCAGGATTCCATACACTTAGTAGGTGCAGAGTAAATACACGTACTTGATTCACAGTTTTAGGTTATCTCGTCCTCTGTAATACCTGCTAAGAACATGAAATATGGAAATACAATTTAGGGAAAGAGTTTATGATTAATAAAAATACAGTGATAGAAGTTAGATACCATTGCAAATATTTTGATTACAATGAAAATGTCTTCTGGTTTTATGATATCTTAGAACCCTTGAGTCTGGACCAAACCAAAAAACCCTGCTTTGGATATCTTGTATTTTATCGTAAATTTCTGATTTTATTTATCTATTAGTTATGGGTCCTTACTTGGGCAAAAGAACCTGAACATGTGTCCCATCTATGAGACTATCTCTGACTATAGCTGCAGTTTAGTTATTTTCTAAGCACGGATCCTTTTTGCTTTGGGGGCCAGAATGATTTCTAGAATAAGGGAAACTTTTTCCTTTCTTTGCTTCACAGTAAGCAGTTATATGGATATTTCTACGTGATGGAGATTGAAATCTTATTTTTACACAGTCTGGCTCCAATTAATATTTTAAATTGAATAAAATATAAAATAGGGAGCTAATATGTACTTAAAATAGAAAATAAGTATTTTGGGGGTTGACTGGCCACAAGTAACAGCTTATGTATAAAAGAGTACACACATATATATATTAAATATACAATATATATACATACACATAAATGCTTATAAAATTAAGGGATTGGCTTCTCATTAGAAAGGATTTAGATATCATTTCATAGACACAGAAATTGAGGCTCAGAGAAGTCAAGCGATTCACAGGTTACACAGCAAGTAAGAGGTAGAGCTGGAATTTTTCTACCATACAGTGATTTCTTATAAAAGACCCCAATTCCACAAACTGACAGTATGTTTGCTAGCATCTAGGACTGATCACAAGTCCCTTAGGACAAAGTGCTACCACAAGGGTTGAGCAGTTTCTACGGGCGCCTGACCTACTGCAGCCTTGAAGCAGCAGAACAGGAAAAGTCAAGGAGAGCAATGAGGTAGCTTGAGCAGTGAGAAGTCACAGGCGAGGTTCGGCAGCTCCAGGGCTACCTGGCAACCACACCCGCGGTGGACAGAACTTGCCGGGCACTGTGCTGGCACTTCAGCCACTTTCCCTCCTTTATCTCATTTAGAGATTACGGTAGTGTTGTGTGTGAGAGAGAGAAAGAGAGTCTGGGGTGGGGTGGGGCGGGGCGGGGCCGGGAGGGGGTGGGAGAGCTTCCTGAAGAGGAAATAAATACCTTGCTGAATGGCACAGAGCTGGGATTTCGGCACAGGTTCAGCAAGATCCCAAAGCCCTTATCCAAGCACTGTGCTCCCTGCCTCGATGGACCAGGAGGGAGGGCTCATTTTCACAAGGATGCTTACTCGAAGGCCAAGTAAAAATGTATTTCAGGGAACATTTATTTTTATTTAACTTACTTTCCCCCTTTGTGCCAAGATTACCTTTTACATTTGTGCCAGGGTAAGTTTCCTCTTTATGATCTCCACTCCATCTAAACCTTTGTCTCTTATAACAGAGTTTTTAATAATGTTTGCAAATACGAAATTAAAAATACTCTTAAAAAGGGCATAATTTTCCTTTTGGTAGAATTTTTCAACAAGTTATTACTTATTTCTAGGTTCATTACTGAATGATTACATAAACTTAAATTAACCTGAAAAGGATAATTTGATTTTCTAAGGCACAAACCACGTATACTAACAGAATTTACAAAACAAAACACACAAAAAGTTTGAATTCTCCTTTATGTGTTTGGCTTCTGATGGCTCAAAAGTAATAAAATTGGACTCGTTTCACAGCCTGTTCTAAAAAATCTCTCACCCCAACCCCAAGAAACTGTAACACCCAGGTTAATTTCCTGCAATGAGTAGTCATTTAATTAAAGAACAAAATTAACAGGAATGAAAATGTTGCAGCTGCATTTTTTGTTAGACATTATATAAAAAAAGAATAACACAGTAAGTCATTTTGTATGACACGAACTTAAAGAGTTTTCAAATTAACTGTGATCAGAATAAAAACGTCTTTTCCACACGGTACTGAAGACACTGCGTACACGTCCCTCGGTCGGAGCCTCGGCGCGGCGACCCTGCACACGCACGCGGCCGTCCCTGGTCACACCGCAGAACTGCAAAACAAGGCGGAAAGGCAAACAACAGTTTTCTTCTGGTCGAGTTACTTGGGGTCTTTACTGACCCCAGCAGTTCACACTCCTCAGACACCAGAGAGTGAAGAGTGCCCTCTGCTGGTCCTCTTACAGGTGAGTGTGGCCAAGATTTCACCTGTGCGGGTCCTGCTCCTCGCACAAACACAGCAGGGAGTCGTGAGCTGAACTTCAGGAAAGTTCCCTGATGAATGTTCAGTGTTGGTATCAAAAAATTAAACACAATTCTTCTCAGAAGAAAATCTCTATGGCCTGTGGAATCTAGAAATTACACAAAGACAAATAAGGTTACACATTTCTAAGTTAAAATTGCCAAAACCTTCCACAAATAATTCTGTTGCTATAAAAGCTTTGCGCAGGTCCAACGGGTAAAACGTGAGGATGAACCTGCCTGGATTAAAGTAGTGTAAAGCCTCAGACGGCGCCCACCGCTCGGGCCCCAGCCATAACCCAAGAGGCATCAGATGCCGAATTCTTAAGCCTACCTAAAACTTAGTTTGAAAAATGCTAGGTAAGCCCTTGAAGTACACAGAAAGAGCAGAGCTTTGCTAGATCAGTAGAAGTAATGAATTGATTAATACAACAAATTATTGGATATTATAGTAGTAGAGTTATAGTTTTGTTCCTGTAGAGCTGATAATGTGTTTGTGGCAATGTTTAACGCACTTAAGAAAATCTCATGTGACTAAAAATATTGTTCTCACTTTTAAAAGTTGACATTGAATTCTAAAATGTGTTGGTATAAAAATCATATTTCAGGGACTTCCCTAGTGGTCCAGTGGTTAAGACTCCATGCTTCCAATGCAGGGGTTGTGGGTCTGATCCCAGGTCAGGGAACTAAGATCCCACATGCCACACAGCACGGCCAAAAAAAAAAAAAAAAAAAATCGTATTTCCTGTTGTCTAAGTTTTGGGCTCACTCTTAAAATTCTGTCCTGTAAGAAAGCTATCAAGGACTTATGAGAAAAAAATACATATCTTTAGTAAACATCTCTTTTAATAATGTATAATGAAAAAATGTATTAAATATTTTGAAGTTACCATACATAGAATATGTAGTAATTATATCTTTTTTTAACACAGAATTGAACATTAAAAATAACTCTGAACGTTTTACAGAGAATGTTTATTTCCTAAACATTTTTTAGTGTTTTGAACACTCAAAAGTAAGGTGATTTATTCCTGCCCAAAAGTATGCCAGTCATGGGGGGGAAACAAATATTTTTAAACAAACTATTGTTTCATTTTTTTCCTGCTCTTCCAACCTCCTCTTCCTCCCTTGATATATACAAAGTAAAACTATCGTGTAGGAGGGAATTCTGTGTGCCTGGTTTCTCTTCTACAGCCACAGTGGCTCACAGAGTAATCTTTTAAATAACAGTTGCAGTGGCCACTTTGTGAGGAACAGAAAAGGAAAGGAATCCATTGTTTTAGTTTAAGGCAGTATCTCCATTCAGGGTTTCCTTTCTCTTTGTATTTGGGGCCTGAGCATCTCTAGACCAAGGGAGAAACGACAGAGCAGCTGGCACAGTTGAAGGCACGTGGCCATCACAGGCAGCCTCTTTAGGATTAAAGGGAAGTGAGAACTTCATCATGACTTGTCACGGCCATGGACAAGAAGGGGAAATGCTGGAAGGATATGCAGCCAACGAGCACTTCAGCATCAGTAAGACACCCTGTGCCACTTTTGTTTATGGTCACGTGGACAGACAGTATATTCCCCTTGTGTGAAAAGTCTTGATTATGGAAGAATCAGTCAATATATCCCCACTGGAATACACGCTCCATGAAGACCGGACCCTCCTTTACCTTATTTATAGTTGCGTTCTCGGCACCGAGAATGGTACAGAGTGATACTCAAACATTTGCTGAGGAAACAAATATATACACGTTTGCGTAAATAAATCAGGGAGTTCTATCAACTGGGGAGTTCTGAATATTAGAGAAGGGGAATTAAACATATAGGCAAAGTACATTCAGTGCTTTGAGACTAATTTCCTTAAATATACATTAACCACTTAAACAAAACGGCGACCTGTGTAATACTGTCCTCCATACCACCTTTCACCAAGCCCTGTAAGAAACCACGGGAGTGAACAGCACTTTCAACTGAGTTGCATTCTGTCTGTTCAAGACAGTTCTCTGCAGAAATACTGAATCTTTTTACCTGAACACACAGTGCTTTCTGACATTTTTTTTTTCTTTTAAAATAAATACCATGTTATGTAAGTATCATGAAATTCATGCAAACGGAAATCTGACCTTGTCAGGTGCTTGCTTGATGCATGTACCTCCATTTCATTGCTTTTGTACTCATTCAGTTCCTTACGAATCGCTGCCTGGAAGTTAAAACCTGCACATTATTTTTCAGGACATTGAAACGTTAACGCAGGAAGTTAGTATCATGGTTATGGACTGACAGCCATTCCTAATACTTGCTGGCTTTTGTTATTTTGTGATAGATTGAAAACAACCTTTTGCTCAGCATTTAGACGTTTACATACTCATTTTGATAGTCCTACCAAGCTAGTGCATAGCTGGTATTCTGGAAGTGTTTAGTGAATTTATTTGCTGTGCTGGAGTAGGACGATATCCACCCTCCCCCCGCCCCACCCCCCCCACGGCACAGCATAGATGGATCAAGCACATGCCTAGGGCACTTATAACGTCGGAACCTCGAAATAATGAGTGAAGTTCAGCTTTTGGTGAACTTACTTGGAATTCAGCAATTAGATAATCTAGAAACAAGTTATTCTAACTTCAGAATACATTTTTGTTTTGTGTCATTGGAGAAATAACCTTGCCGTTACATGTGGGTGAGATGTGCATCTCAGTCTTTTCAGGGCCTCTCATCTGGCCCTCCTCCAGCTTCCCAAACCCACTTTCATTGTGTGCTTCTCTCAGACCCTCCAGGACCAGGCCAGACAAAAACATCAGACACAGCCTCCGGGGCAAGGAAAGGCTTTGCGTCGAGCATGTAGGGACGTACTACTCCCAGCTCTGCTGCCAAAGATGCCTGAATTCTCCCTTCACGGCGGGGAGATGCTCCTCTGAGCACATCCGCCACAGGCAACAGAGAGGGTCAGTCCAACTACAGCCTGTCTGCATTTCTCCAAGTGCCTGCCGTGCTTACGTGCATTCATTTAGAACCTCACGGACTCACACGCAGCATATGAAGAACGAGGAACAATTAGCGAAGTCAGCACACTCACTGACTGAATGTATTATGTTCCTCTTCCGAAAGGCTTTAAGAGTTCTGAAAATCACTAGAGGCAGGAAGGTAGGAGAGACTGTGTAGACAGACGCTCCTGGGTTTAAGTTCTGCCAGTCGATAGCACCTGACCCCAGACAAGCCTTACCTGTCCCAGCGTCTCCTGGTCACCTGTTCAATGGCACCTCTACGGGGAGGATTACATCTCTCTCTTTGGGATCTTTTGGAGGATTAAATGAAACAATAGCTGGCAGGCTGGGCTCAGTACAGGGCAGCGTGAGGGCTCGGTGGGTGTTAATTTCCTCTGCTTCACCCCTCAGCCTCTGCCCCACCACCTCCTTGCTCTCCCCGCCTCTCTGACCAGGAGGTCCCCAGAGACACCTCAAACCGGACCGGCCCAGGACAGAGCCCAGAGCTGCCTCCCTCCACATGGGGGAGGGTCTCCTGAGGGCCTCTCGCCTCTCCTCCCTTCCTCATCCCCACTGCGGCTCACTGTTTCAAACATTGCCATCCAGCTCTTTTTTGCCAGCCTTGCCTATTCTGACTTGTGCCCCAGATCAGAGCTTATCAACTTCACATTCTGGACATCTGGGGCTGGATCAGTCTCTGTGCGGGCCGTCCTGTGCACTTCCGGGTGGTAGGCAGCATCCCTGGGCTCCACTCAACAGACGCCAGTAGCACCGCCCCAATGGTGACAACCAAAAATGTCCCCAGACGTTGCCAAATGTCCCTAAGGGCAAAACCATCCCCTGGTTGAAAACAAGACCCGAAATCTGGGTTGTATTTGTGAAAGCAACATCTGGTCAGGCTCAGCCTTAACTGCAACAGCTGATGGCGCCCGCTGTCTAAGAATAAACTCCCTGGCATGACACGATTTGCCCTTCTTTCATACATGCACCCCCGGCCAGCGCAGACAGGTCTGTTCTGCACCTTATCTGCTGCCGACAGCCTTGTCCAGGGCTTGTCTGCCCGCCTGTCGTAGTCCTGTGCTTTCGCCACCTCCACGTAGTCACTGAATCGTATCAGAATTTTTCTGTCTCTCAGTTCATCAACCGTGGGTCTCTGATTCAGCTACAATAAAAGATAACCATAGTTAGGTCTCACATGCCAAACTAGCTTTCCTAAAGTACTCTGAACCAACAGTACCCTTGTACAAATAAATGTAAAAGTCTGAAATTGTGAAATATAATCCTCATGCAAAAAAAATCTCTCATGGGAAGGGCTTAAATTATACACTCTTAAATTACAGCCTCCTCCCCTTAACATATCCCGTCAGGAGCACTCACGCCCCAGGAGGCTGGCGGCGCCCTGTTCACAGCACGGCTCAAGGAAAGGCTGATGAACTAACTCAGGAAACATTTCACAACAGCTGCTCCTTTCCAACTGTCACTAGGCAGGATTTTACCCAAAGCTTCTGACAGGTTGAAGTGCTAAGTACTACCAGTGCTCACAACTCAAGCTCAGGAAGGGTATTCTATTAACTTTAAGCAAGACAAGATTTCATCATCATTATTATTATTATTACAGAACATAGTAGAGAAAGGATAACCCCAGATCACTTGAATTTAGAGATAGTCAGGGCTTTAAAAGGAGATCAAAGTTGACAGACTTGCTACCTGTGTTGGCCATAGTACGTTTTGACTTAACTATCTGAGCCCCAGATACAAACCCTTGAGGCTAATAAAGTTTTCTGCAGTCAGGAGCTTCTAGACAAGTGAAAGGTAACCGACACACTGATATCCAGGCACGCTTTCCTTAAGCACTGTGTAAGGAGCTCGAATAAATGAAGAGCATGCCCAGTCAACGTCTGACTTCCTGGAAACAAATGGAAGTGTCATCTGGGCTGCACAGCCACGCCACGCTCTCTGGTGCTAGGTAAGGACATCGTCCACAGGCGTGTCGGTCACACCGCGGGACGTGGCAAAAGGCACTGCTTTTCGAGCATCTGGTAAGTGAATTCACTGTTACCCCAGAAACCATCACTCGTTATCACAGAGCAAGGCCTTGTATCGCCCATCCCCGCTGCTACAGAAGCAGCTTTCCTCTATCCACCTTTTCCCCCTTAATATTCAGGACACAGGTGCTTAAATGACAGTACCTTTCTTGTCAATCTCTGCTTGATTTCTCTTCTTTCTTCCTGCTCTGTCTGATCATTCCTTTCTGTGAAAGATTAAAACAAAAAAAAAAAAAAGGAAAAGAAAAGAAAAGAAGCAGGTTGAGACTTTCTTCTTTTTAGCAGGGAAGTGTCCTCAAGATCTGCATACTTCTGGAAGCTAAAGATGTAACACAAAGGACACCTGGTAGGTGACACTTTTCTCCACATCACAGTTTGTTTTATCTCTGCTTTGCCAATTGCTGCTCAGGAGATTATGGTCTCACTGTCCACAGAAACACTTGTAGAAGGGAAGCTTTGCCATCGTCACAGCCTGGTTCTCCTGGACCCTACTCTGTGTCAGAAATAACCACACAGATTGACGCTGGGCATTTATTTGCGGGAGAAGCAGGAAGAGGCTCTCTCTCCTAATCAAATATCATATCTCTCTCTGTATATTTACATTTAGGAACATAGGTGGCAGACAAAAATAGTTTTACTAGGATAAGTTACATATATACTCATACATACATACATATATATATATATATATGAATGATTGCATATTAATAGAACTGTCACTGCTTTTTTTTCCCCCTTTTCCATGTAATAGGTATACATACTTTCAGCCAACCAGCATAAGGTAAGGAACATTCTCTTCAGATTCTGGGCAGCATGTGCCTGCTTGGAATTCATATTTTCAGGATGTATTTCAAATCCAAACATATCCAGGAACCCAGCTGACTTTCCACTGCAGAAGCAAGATGCATGACCTGACGTTTAAAGGACCCTTAGTCTTTCACCAAAATTGGCTTTGCCTGGGGAGTGTGACTATTAACATGCAAGCCGTGCTCACACCTACACTTGGGAGCTAAAAATGGAACAGAATGCTGAGATGTAGTGTAGAACGTACGCTCTGCCCTGGGATACCAGATAATGGATGTCCTATTTCTGGCTCTCTCTGTTGCTAAATAAAGCCTCAGGTCCCTGGAGGGGGCCCAGAATTCCTCTCCTAGAAAAGGGATCTCATCTGTCAGCTCTCCTAGAAACACCGCCAGGTCTGAGAAAGGAAAATCCTGTGACTTGCAGTTAACATAAGCTCACATTACCTGCCTTTATCTAAAACATTTCAAACATTTGTGCATTTGGGGGATTTGGTATATGGGCGTTTAACATACTAGCCATTGTACTTTTCAGTAGTTTTCTTTAAAAAGGATTCATCTCGCATCTGGGTGTTTTAGAAAAGGAAACCAAACCCTGTTACGTTCCTGCTTCTTAATCCATGTGAAAAACCAGGAGAAGCCACAGTTATAAGCGCTAATCAGGAAGCTGATAATACAGTTAGAAAAAACTGTGAAAGTACCACATAGAAGGCCAACCATGAGGGATTTAAATGATGATATGAAACGAATTCTTCAGATTTCTTAAAAATAGGCCATGAAAAAATCCGAAGTACAGCCTCCATGTGAAAACACTGAAGCAAGATCAGATCTTTCTGTTTTTTAACTCGTGAACAACACATCAGCTTCATTACGAGTTCATATGAGCACAGCGGGGGCTTCAGAGAGCTGAGCTTTGGGTGCCCGGCGGGGTCCCTCTCAGGGCCAGGCGCTCGGTGGGGCACCAACTCCAAGACGTCCTTCCTCAGAGCCTAAGCCACAGATTCTCTGAGCTCCCCTCAGCGATGGGTTTGTGGATCTCTTATTCTCAGACCCAGAAAGCCCGGTGCCTTATACAAAACAAGGGAGCCATGATCGGAGTTTCCACACCCAGATTTACTGGGAATAGTGCCGGTAGCATGGACAGTCACACATGTCCCCTGTAAACAGTCAGAGATGCACCGCTGCTCCTAAGGCAGTGGTTAGAGCGGGGACGACGAGCCAGGCCACCTGGGCGTGAACTTCAGCTCCATCCCTTTGCCAAGACTCAAGTTAAAAAGTCGTAGTAACTCCTGGGGTCTAAGCTTCCTCGCTAGGGAAAGGGGGACAGCCGTGCGAACCTCACAGCTGTGTTGTCTCAATTCAACGGGGGAACACAAGCAAGCACTGCGTACGATCTAGCAGAGTGGGCCCAACGCGGGATGATCAGTTTTAATATCATAGCATATACAGGGGCCACCGTGTCTTACGCTGTTGTATCCACAGATGCACAGGCCCAGTTCTGAGCGTTCCTCTGACACGATCGCAGTTAGTCATGAGCTCCCCACTTGAAGGGGAGCAGATACAACGTGACGATACTCTGCGCATTGATTAAAAGCCGAAAATGCAGTAAGCGCGAGCCGGTGTCAAGGGCCTGCGAGGATGACGTTCTAGACTGGACCAGCTACAGTCAGTCGATTCTCACCTCCACGGAACCAAGCCAAACAGCCACCTCAAACCAGCAGTGAAATTCTCAAGGACCGTTGCCCAGGGCATTCGAGAAGCTTCCGGCTAGGGATGGACCTGCCTGCTAGATGGCGAGGGAGGGACCACCAGGGCCACAGGGGTTAAGCCTGTTTTCCTGCCCCTGCTGTGCCCTGAAGGTGAGCGCCGTCAGCTCCCGGGGTCCACCTGCCATCTCTGCTCACCAAGCACCAGCTCTGATATTCAGGCTTCCACGTCTATGTGCAAAGACTGACACAATTGGAAGCACTTGCTGGTGGGAGGGCCTGGCCGTCCGCAAGACCAGAGAGGAGGTCACCACTGACGGGAGAAAACGGTTTCTGGGAGAAAAGCCTCTGCCGACTCTGGGCAACAGACCAGTCTGAGGACGGCACCGCCCGGGCCTTGAACTTGCCCCATTCTAACTCTTGGATTACTACTTCAGGGGCACCTGTGACTTATGAACTTTATAAGTAAATGATTTAATTTTTTAAAATTCAAATATTTGGTAACAAAGAGCTTTACATTTCTAGCTGCCCACTTGATTAAGCATGTTAGCAACGAAAAGCTTTTCTTGAAATCCTCAGAGGTGGCCTAGTTCACGTAATATAGTAGTTTCCATATCTTAAGTTTAAAAAATAAAACACAGAATTCTTTTTTTTTTTGGCTGTGCCACGCGGCTTACAGGATCTTAGCTCCCCAACCAGGGATCAAACCCGAGCCCCCTGCAGTGGAAGCGCAGAGTCCTAACCAGTGGACCACCAGGGAAGTCCCTAAAACAAAGAATTCTTAATCTTAGGGTTTAAATATTTCCAACAGTCTATAAAGGAGGGAGTCTTCCAGGCAGCTAATAAAGGGGCTGAGGCAAAGAAAGGGGGAAGGAATCAGATAGGACGCGGGACCTGGACCAGAGGTTCTGCTGTCTACTTTGTGACAGGTCAGCCTCAGGACCATCTTAACTTTGTAAAAAGATGTTCATGGGATGAAAAACCAACTCAGAGAATGTCTGCAGTGTTCATCCATAAAGAGGGGAGACAATGAAAATATTTTAAAAATCTAGGCCCTTAGAAGATACTTTTTGTAGAAAATGTCTCGCAAACTAAAGTCTGTTGACCAGATACATAAGAAGTATGTGAGAAACACCTTTGAAAGGGTTTTACCACCCAAATCATCAATGGCTTTAATGAGATGGAACAGCGTTCGCTACATCGTGGAGGCTATCCCTGGACACTGGTGTCCAGCACATGTTACAACCGCACACCTAACTGGGGAAACCCAAGGGGTGTGAAGCCCTGAAGGAGGGTCCTGGAATCGCGGGGGGTTCTAAGCCACAGGCAACGTTTCCCAAGGCTTCTCCGTTCCTTTGAGCTGCTTTATGCCCCCAGCTGTAACCACCAAGGGGCGAGTCCTTCCCTGGTAGGATTTATACATTGTCCACACCTGCCTGTGATGTCCCAAACTGCCAGGGACAGACACCTGCTTGAGACCCAGCCTGCAAAAGGATATGGATTCGTCTCCCTTCCATCTGCAGGGCCGACCAATGAGATAACCCTGGAGTAGGGACATCTTTAACAGTGCTAGGAGAGCTTTTTTCCTTTTTAATTTTAAACAGGATGTGCCTGGGTGTTTCAACTTTCCCGGGGGCTTGCTTTCAGAGTCCCTCATCCTCTCAGACCTAATGGGAACCCAGGAGGGCTCAGGCCACAGAACCGGGTTCCCGCAGCAGCCTCAGCACACGTGAGGGGGGCCTCAGGGCATCACCCGCTACTCACGTTTCAAGATGTTTCTTCTCTCCAGTTCTTCCACGGCGGGTCTTTGGCTCAGCCGTCTGCGGAAAAACACTAGAATTACATTTTGCACCATGGTGGCTGCCGGCGGATTGCACCCAGGGTCTGCGAGGGTCCCAGGCGGGTGGCGCACCCGCTGAAGATCGCCTCCCCAAAAGCGGGAGGAGGGGAGGGGGACCTTCTCCGGCGGCTGCCTCTTGCGGGCAAATCGAGTTAGACCCCCGCGCGGGAGGGAGGCGGTCCTCTGTCACCGGGCGGCTGGGGCAGTCCGCGCTCCCCCTCCGGACGAGCAGCTCTTCATGTCCAGATCTACTGCCAGCCCGGCGGGCTGGACGGCTCCCCAGGCGGCGCGTCCGAGCTGCGCGGAGATCCACCTGGGAGATGATCCCCTGCCCGCTGGCGGAGGGAGGGGCGGGCAGCCGCGTCTCCAGCTTCTGTGTCCCCAGCTCCCGGCGACCCGGACACTGGCACTCGCACTGGTCCTGCTCCTACCGCGGTCCAGCCTCACCCGCCACCCGCCACCCGCCACCAGGGTGGTGATGGAGGGAGCTCCTGCCTCTACGGGCAAGGAGCCGAGGCGCGTAGAGAGGAAGCGCATCCAATCCAGGATGGGAATCTCCTGGGCTGAGCGCGCGGAGCCGGCCACGCCCACAGCTCCCCTCCCGCCACCAGCCCTACCCGCCCCGGTTTGAGAGATAGGAAGACAAACGATCATTTCCTTTCAAATGGCCTCTCATTAAGGGAGTTGGAGGACACAGCCAAAACGAAAAAAATACATACATAAATAAAAGACTTGTCAGGAGAGGGAGGCATAATTAGCCAAAATTAATGCCAAGCTCCAATCATTTTTGTAACTCCAATAATGCTGTCCTTGGGGCAGAGCCAGAAAGCTTCCCACTTCCGGATCCTGTAGCCACTGCACAGAGACAACAGGCTGAGCATCTGAACGCCCACAACGTGGGTCCACAGTACTCTACCCCAAAGGGGATGTCGCCTCCATAAGCACTGGCCTCCCGCTTATAGCCCCTGTCGCAGCACACAGCCCAGGGCGGCCGGGGGCTCAGTCTGCTGATGGCTTCTTCTGGGGGCTTGTGTGCCTGCTGGCTGCTGGGTGGTTGCCTAACATCTTGTCTGGATGTCTGCTGAGACTTGAACCTGCCCCCCACAACTCCTGGCTGGCACCCAGGGGCCAGGGCCAGGGCCTCCCAATCCCTCCCAAGCACCGGGCACAAAACCAAGCTCTTTGAGTGGGGCTCCCTCAGCCTGGTCAAAATCCCCCAAACGCCATTCATTCACTCACTCACTAAGTGACTGGCAACACTGGCTCTGTGCCAGGCACTGCTCCAAGCCCCAGGACACAGTGGTCCCTGCCCTTGGAAAGCTCACAGTCTAAAGGCGGGGCAGACAACAGTAAACAAACAAACAAGACCATCCCAGGGAGTGGTCAGTGCCATGGAGAAGACAAAATGGGGGGCGGGGAGGATGTGATGGATGAGTGATGGGGTAGGGGGAACTCAGGGAAGATCCATTTCCACAGAGACCGCAGGAAGAGAAGGAGCCAGCCTTGGGAAGATCACATTTCTAGACGGTGTCTCCTAACTGCTCACGTGCTGGGCTTGGGGAGGGCCGGGAGGAGTGATCAAGGCAGGCTTCCTGGAAGAGGAAACTTCTGGCAGAGTTGTGGAGAATCCACAAGGCGTGCAGAGCCTGGTGCTTAGTGGCTGCCAGCTGCCCAGCCAGGATGCCCACAGGGACAGCTGAGGATGCGGCCACACATCTCCTCAAACCTGAAAAGTACCCCCAAACCTCCACTCACTTTGCCCCCACAGAGGCTTTTTCTTCCTGGAGCCCTGTTCTCTTCCAAAATGAGGACTAATAGCAGACCTTCACAGAGGTGAGAGAATCGAATGAGAAAATGCACAAATGCACCTGTTACCATGCTTGCTCAGGACAATGGTTTCTCAAGAACTGTCTGGAGAAAACCCAGCCTGTGGGTTGTCAGCTGATCATGGACTGAGTTCTCAGAAAGTGTGGACATCTCAGCACCAAAACCTCCGCCACTGGCCCGAGGCAGGAAGGCAGGTCTCCGGCTGGCTGCTATGCACCTCCTGGATGCTGCCAGGGTGAGGCCAAAGCGGGCCCACAGGGCACCTACGAATGGTCCAGAAGGGGTAGTCTGCTGGGTGGACGCAGCCCTGCAGGTACACAGCTGTGAGCAAAGTGCAGCCTACTGGGTTCTCACCAACTTGCCCCCCTACCCAGAGGGAGTCCAGGAGCCCACGGCTGGACGAGAGGGCCCAGGGCCCTGGGTAGCACCGCCAGCCCGATCCCCTCCCTGTGGGACCCCAATCACAGGGGGAAGGGTGGTGCTGCAGGTCGAGAGCCCCCATCTAGACTCGCCCCTACCTGTACCCGACACCCCACTTCATGAGACTGAGAACTTTGACCTTGAGTTAACCTGACCTTCCGTGTCAGATGTTTACTGAGCCTATAGGACACGCCTGGCCCTGGGATGTGGTGGTGAGAAGTTAGCCCCAGCCCTGCCCTCAGGAGCACAGGCTCGGGAGGGCACAGACATTCAGCCCGTTATCACACAAACAACCAGGCATTTCTGCGTGGTGACGAGCGCTAGGAAGAAGAACCGACAGTACTATGAAAGCCTAGAGTAGGTGGGCCCACCTGGACAGAGGCACTGCCTGAGAAGGTGATGCTTGCCTTGAGATCTGAGATCAGAAGGATTAGTGGGGATCGCTAAGCCAGGAGGGGAGGGAAGAGCACAGCACGTGCAAAGATCCTGAGATCAGAAGGACTCCTGCAGGGCCATTTGGACTGAGTGGGGGTGTGTGTCCATGGGGCAGGACCCACCCAACCTGCAGTCCGTGGTGAGGTCTGGGTTTATTCCCAGAGCCCAGAAGGCACTGAAGGGTGTGAAGCAGGCGGGGCAGGATGGGGCACGGGCGGGCCAGGATTGGATGTACCTTCGGAAGCACTTCTGGACTGCTTTCCAGAGGAGGACAGAGAAGAACCTGCCCCCGGGAGACATGGAGCTGTTCAGGGGGAGCCCCATCAGACGGGAAGCACAGGTGCCACAGGCCTGTGAGTGGCTGAGGGCCCACGAACTGTTCAAGACAAGGGGAGGTATTGGCTCTAGACTGAAAACACTGCAAGTTCCAAATTAATACACGTTGGACTAAGTACATATTAAACACAATATTCTGCCCATTTGCTGCGTGAGACTCAGCACCCCTCTCCACACGGCTGGGATGTCCCAAAGCAGGAGTGGCGACAGCCCTAATACCAAGGGCAGACATGGTTATGCCCACTTTACAGATGGGGCCACTGGGGCTCAGAGGAACAAACATGACCAGGTCTTATTCCCCACGTAGGCCCCAGGGTCTGGCACAGGCAAACACAAGTGGCCTGAACAAGGAGCAAATGAAGGGATGCCGGCTCCTCTCCCTCTCTGAGGCGTGTGCTTGGTGTGGCCCAGGAGGGATGCTGCCAGAGCACCCTTGCTTTGGCACCTCAGCAGCAAGGGGATCTCCAGGACGTGCGGAGACAGCCCCAAGGTGGCAGGGCTTTGGGGGTGAAGGGGCGGGGCCTCGGGAGGGGCGGGGCCTCAGGAGCGGTGAGGTAGGAGAGTTCAGCACCCTGAGGGATTCCCCGGCTCCACCCACGGGCCGCTCCCTCCTTATTCAGAAGCTGCCGCTGTGGGTGATGAGCAGGTGCCGCCTGGAACTGGGGAAGCCACAGTCTATTTCTGACTCTCCCCGCTGAGAAAGCAGGAACGTGGCAGCCAATTACAGCGCTGCGTGGGCGTGGGAGCGACACCAAGAAAAGAAACCAGGAGAGAGGGAACCTGCCCTACCCCCCGCCATTCCCCTCCCCACGCCTGTTCACACAGGAGAGGCGGGCATGCTGGGGGACCAGGAGTGCACTGGACAGGCCCTGGGGACTTGAGTAGGAGGTAAACGTACAGGCCACCTGGGACGGGACAGGACAGGCTGGGGGGCATGGCAGCTGCAGGTCTGCGTGCAGTGTGGGTGTGAGGGCCCCCAGAGGGGCTCCCCAGCCCTCCGGCATCTCCTCTGAACAGGTCTGCGGTGAAGGCCGAACTCTGCACCTGACCCTGTGCTGTGAATATGGGAAACAACCTGAGGACAGCCGGTCAGTGCGCAGGTGACGCACGAACAGGGAGGAATGGGGGAGAACGGGTGGAGGGAGGGGAGCCACGAGGCCACTGACAGCCGGGTGACCAGGGTGCCCGGAGTGGGTTTCAGGAGAATAAGTGATGTGGTTATACCGTCCACATCCCTCAGGCTGCAAACTTCCATCCCCCAGACCAGCACCAGGGGCAGGACACAGGCAGAGTCTCAATTCAAGTCCCAGCTCTGCCCCTCTGCCGGTGGGGTGACAGGGGCTAGTGCCCCCCTACCTGAGCCTCCAATCCCCTGGCCCTCACCTGCCCCAGGGAACCCAGGGGTGCCGAGGGGGTCGAGAATACTAAGACACGGAGGAGGCCGGCACACGAGCAGGTGCGGGTATTATTACGATGACCAGCTTCTACACTGCTCCCCGGGTGTGGTGGGCCCAGGTCTTCTCCAGCTTCAGCCAACAGAGCTGCCATCTCCACCCTGCCGGCAACCTCCCTGACCCCCGGGGTGGGGGACAGCCTGGGCGCCTGACCCATCAGAGCACCACAGTCCAAATTCAGCAAGCAGCCACACTTTCGGCTCACCCAGCATTTTAAAAAATGTGAATATGAAGCGAGTATTAATCGACCGGGAGTTTTCGCTCTAAAAAATCAGTTTTGCAGCTTCCCTTGATATTTGGGAGAGCTGGCTACTCCAGATCCACACCTCCCTGGCCCTCCCCACCCCTGGCAGCACAGCTGGAGCACAGCAGCTGACTCTCATCGCCCCCGCGGCTCCCCTCCCAGTGGCCTCGCTCCCCTGCGGGCTCTCCATCTGGGTCACCTGTGGGACCAGGGTCCTGAGGGGGCTGGGCCCTGGGAAGCCCCTTCCTCGTCCTCAGGACCCCC